CAACGGAAAGCAGAGGAGGATGCAAAGAAAGCAGAGGAGGCAAAGAATGCTGAAGAACAATTGAATTTAACGGAGCAGGAGGCAGCCGAAGCATTTGGGGCGGGTCATGTTGATGGAGCCTGGCCAGAGCCGGTTCACGTTCAACAGTTCAAGTTCAATTGGGAAGCGGAATTGTTTACCAACTTGGTGGAATACGGTTGGGACGACCTGGTTGCTGATGCTGAGGGCTATGTCATGTTCTTTGCCTCTGATGGACAGCTGTGTGGTGTGCCGCACTCTTTTCAATTTCCGATCAAAGTTTGGCTCCGAAGAGACTATGCTGCTTACAAAGAGAGGCTAAACCTTGAGCAGTGCATCCGCATCAAGAAAGAAATTATGAGTGATTCGGAAGACCCCACCCAGGCAACGGACACAGCGGCAGGAGAACAATGGAAAGCTGAGGAGGACGCAAGGAAAGCAGACGAGGCAAAGAAGGCAGAAGAAATGAAGAAGGCAGAAGAACCACGGAAAGGTGAGGAGGAGGCAAAGAAAGCAGAGGAGGCAAAGAAGGCAGAAGAAATGAAGAAGGCAGAAGAACAACGGAAAGCTGAGGAGGAGGCAAAGAAAACAGAGGAGGCAAAGAAGGCAAAAGAACAACAGAAAGCTGCGGAGGACGCAAGGAAAGCAGAGGAGGCAAAGAAGGCAGAAGAAATGAAGAAGGCAGAAGAACGACAGAAGGCTGAGAAGTTCGCAAACAACGCAGAAGAATTGAAGAAGGCAGAAGAACAACTGAAGGCTGAGGAGGAGGCAAAGAAGGCAAAGGAGGTACGAACTTCTGAGAAGGATGCGAAGAGAGCAAATGAAGCAAAGAAGGCTGAGGGGGATGCAAAGAGAGTAAAGCAGACAGATGAAGGGAAGGAGAAAGCAAATGATGGAAACAAGGAAGGCACTGAGTTGCTCTTGAAAAAAGCAAATGCTTTGATGGAGGAAGCTGAGGCACTCAAGAAAAAGGCAGAGGATGCGGATCCTTCCCTGGAGGGTCTTGCAGAAGAAGACAAAGCAAAAGCTATCCAGGAAAAGCTTGAGAAAAGAAGAAAAGATGCGCATGCTCGCTACATGCGCTACTACAGAAGCATCCGGAGTTTTGGACTCAGCTGTAAAAGTTGATCAATTCATCCCGTGCCGATTATCGCATGTTTTGCAAATTATATAACAAAAATCACTATTTAAAAGATATTATCAAGTTTCTATTGTTGTTAATTTGAGTCACTATAGTAGTGATTGATCGACCCGCTGTGCCTAGATCCCGAAACGCCAAAAGAGCTTCGCATGATGGGAATGGAGGCGCATGGCAGTGCCTTGCACCAATTAATGCAGGAAGGGTGGGTTAGGGTGCATGTGTTTTAGATTGTTTTAATCGCTTATATACTTGCACTTTTTATTGGAACATTGCATTTCGACCAATGCGTACTCTGAGGTAAGTCATTGAACTCCGTACTGTACGATGCCTGGGCCCAGTGTCAGGGAGCCTGGAAAACATCAACATTTTACCTTCAGATAAAAGCGCGCAAGTCATCAACAGTGCGGGGAGTGCGAAGGTGGCTGTTCAAACATCAGATGATTGCGCAGTTCACTGAACCCATCGCCATAGCCATGATCGAGCACAAAACCATGGATGAAAAGCTTTGCCAGACAGAGGTGAGGTATCACCCAGAGCTGCCGCAAAAGGAGGATCGAGTGAAGGGAATTTAGTAAATTCATCATGGATCAATTGCTTTAATTTGTATTACCCGGCCGTTCATCACGAACTCAGCTCTGATAGTCGTCCCTTTGTTGCTCAATGCCGGCCAGGAGCACAGGCAATATTTATGCTTGGTGGAATCTGGCGCTGATGATGAAGAGTGTGAGGAAGTAACGAGACTGTTCCGTTGTGTTGATGAAGAGAGTTCCAGCAGCAGTTCATCAAGCGGAAACCATCATAAAAAGGGAAAGTCTAGCAAGAGGAAAAGCAAGGCTGGGTACCTTTGGTATCTGGGCCTAGGGCTATTCTATCCTTCACATCTGCCGGCAGCCTCTAGAAAACATAGGTTTTGCTTATCACAAACAGCAGCAATTTCTATAACATGCTCTCCACATATTGTTTAGAACAGCAGTAACTAGTACAATAGGCCGAGGAATTCCAACATTTATAATCGAGGTATTCAATAATTGTTTTTGGAGGCGCGTCCTGAAACAACGAGGGCTGCCTAAACACCTCGCAGGCGAAAGGCGATTCAAAGGCAAAGGATTCAAACACCACCAAAGGCGGCAAGAAGACCGAAAAGAATTCTGGGAAGGAAAAGGAGAGGAGAAAGCAAACAGTAAAAAACAATGGTCAAGGTCCAACCCCAGCTGAAACCCCAGAGCAAGCTGAGGCCAGAAAGGAAACGGACCAGCTAAAAAAGGATTGCAAGAAGGCTTGGCTCGATAGTGTCGGGTCCAGTCATCCAATTTTGAGAACGTTGGTTGTTTATCATTTAAGTTGTGAGGCTCTTTCTGGTGCATCCAGCAAGATCAAATGGTCTGTGGAGCAGTTGAAGAATTTGCCCACTTTGCCCGGTGCTTAGTCAGGTGACCTGCAAAATTATCATCGATAACGGTTTAACGATATATCGATATACATTTTTGCTGCCAGATTGTCAGGCCAAAAAACTATGCAAAGTCGGTTGAGAAAGACGTTGATGAAGCCCGGAAGGCTCTTGAGGCAATCCCTGTTTTGTTTTTACCGCGATCTACCGCGATGCAATTCATTCATTCTTGCATCGATTAATATTACTAATTACTTAAAACTCTAATCCATGTTAATGGCATTGAGTTCATGTGCAGGACACGCGGGCTGATCTTCAAAGGGCGAGTGACACTGGAGAGGCGTTCCAACATTGATCAATTCTTCGGATGATTTCTTTGGATAAGTTCAATTGTTTAGCTAAAATATAAATTTCTAGAATTGAATTAGAATTCATGGATGCATGGACATTGTAGATATTACTTAATTCATTACTTCTTGAATTCTTTGTTGGATCGATGGGCATTGCAATTCTTGGGAGGTGAAGCGCACCACGATTGAAGCGTGTGAGCGTGCCCTGAAAGATTTAGAGAAGTCTTGTGAGCCACTCAAGGCTAAGAAGGCTCGAAAGTCTTGAGCCTGGATATTTTTGCAATTGCAAAACGTGACTGCAAGGGAGGAACCTTGGCCATTTCAATATAGAAATGTTGATTTCGATACAATTTTGACACTACCAATGAATTGTTGCTAGATTGTTTTGCAAATAGAAGGCCAGGGATGCAGCCAGTGCGGCTAAAGCAGTCAGGTGCGAGCATAGCTGCCTTTGACGGGGGCAACTTACGCACGATTCCGTGCGAGGGTTGCAGGGGTTCATGGTGTGGCCCTGCTTTCACATAGCTCTGCTAGTGCTGCGTGGAATTTTCGACTCTCAGCAATGGTTGAGAGGATGTTACCGGCTCAAGCTTGCGGCTCCAAACACCTGAATCGAACATATTCCTCTTGTGTTTGTTCAATATTCCTGTGAACGACTCGTTTGGCCTGCGCACATGATTGGATTGTTGTAATGGTTTGATCTGTGGATTGATTTGTCCAAGACAGGTGATGGAGGCGCCGGGCCTTTGGAACAAGATCTTTCAGAGAGGATAGCCAATGGGGAACCTAGATTGCAAGATTGCTGAATGTTCATTCACCACTAGATCCGCTTGAGCACTATTTGTTCCACTTGAAGGGGGTGCCTGCTGTTTAATTCTGTTATGTCGTATTTGCTCAGGACTCCGGAATTTCTGTCATGAGATCGGCGCAGGCCACCTACAAAGTGTCTTGGCTGATCAGTGCGCTGTGGTCATGGGATGGACGTTCAGCGGATCGGTTGATCTGTGGTTGAGGAAGCCCGTGGCTTCACTAGCACATGGACAGCCAAGCTGGCATCGTATCGACGAAGCCTTGGGAAGAACAGTGCTCGGGATTTCTATCGCAACAACCCTTTACCCTTGGTCCCTTAGCTCAATTGATCAGTTTGTTATGGCTCATGGTCGGTCAGGTGTTGCACGTGTCCTCGTTCAACCGGTTAAACGTGCACGAAAGAAACAAGTGGCCCAATCTAGATTTGCCTTTGTGAGGAGCCTGAGCATGTGACCATTCAGATCAAGAAAGATAGCGGGGTCCTCGAAACAACAACAATGCCCGTGTTCCTTCCGGAGAGGATCGTTCATCATTTAATGAGCGCGTGCAAATTTTCACTGGACGACAATTTGGTGAGAGGATACTGGGCGCATCTAGACCACATGGGGGATGAGTGGGCCAAGTCAACTGCTGACTTTCGCCGGCATTCAGGGCTGGTATGGCCGATTGGCATATATGGTGATGAAGCTGTGATAGGTCTGCAGGCTGATCCCACCAACAAAATCTTCGGCCTGTACATGAATATGCCTTTGTTTCGGCCACGCGCAACAAGACTAAGCAGATACTTATTGTTTGCCCTGGAGACGAACAAATTGGTGTCAGCTCGTCAAAGTGTTTTCCCAGCCCTCAAGATTATTGTGGATTCTTTCAATCGTCTTGCAGAACATGGGATCCTTGGACGGCGATTTCTTCTTGCAGAAATCCGTGGAGACCAAGTGTTTCACAAATTTTTATTCAAACACGCCTCATGGTGGAAGGCAAACAATGTGTGTTTTAGATGCCATGTTCGTGCAGACCGGCCCGGAACAAATTTGTGCTACACTCAATACGACAACTCTGGCTGGGGCTACCGGACAACAGATCAGTTTCTCCGGGAGGAAATGCCCATGCAAGAGGAAGACCGCTGTTTCTTAGTAATTATTTGCAATTTTTTGGTTAGAACAAACATTTTCAAAGAACCCACATCAATTCAAGGCCTTGATTTTAGAGTGCTTTGATAGCCGGCGGTTGGTTTTATGGGAGGTGGTTCAACCAAGGCCCTCTTATTGATGCCTACTATTTCAACATCTCGCTTATCAAACACTGCACCCTCCATATCGTCAATTTGAAATTACTTGGAGTTGCTAACGGCTCTTGCTTGCAACTTGCCTATGTTTAATATTTAAGAAAACGTGTTGAACAGGAACCCCTGATACGCATGTTTGACTAGTTTGGGCAAATGGGACACGTGTTCCACAAGATTTGAGCCCTTGCAGGGGGATGCTCCTTGACCTCCAGTTCTTCGGAAGTGTTGCTAATGGTTACACTGATGCCTTGAACATGGCCTACGAAGATTTCTTGGCATTTTGCCGGCAACGCAAAGTGCAGTCATCGCAAAAACGTTTCTCAGTCAAGTCCTTGGTTCGGGATACTTCTTACGGATTTTACCTCAATTGTAAAGGTTTCAACGCAAGGCTGGTTGCAGAGTGGCTCACACAGCGATGCATCGATGTCAATGGTTCGCCGGCTTTTAGTGCACGTGATGAAAGATCCAAGATGTGTGAGGCTACAATGACCCTCGCTCTGTTCAGTGCAGTATGTACTTTTCTTGTGATTTCTCGAGTAACAAGGGTAAACACACTGAATTGAACCTGATAGGGCAAACACTCTGCACATTTTGGGGGGCTTGGAGGGTACAAAGTTTTGACCCATACCTTTGCAAAATGTGTGACTAAGAATTGTACGACCCAAATCGAACCGCCTATTCAGGCTTTGTGCAAAGGCCCCCCACAACCTCTCAGAAGGGCTGCTAGGGATTTCCCTTCCCATTCCTCCGCTCACCCCGAGGCGCGCAATCACCCGCTATTTCGGACTCACAGAGCGGGCCTCGAGGGCATTGCTTCTTGTCCAGCATTGCTCTGCATCGCTCTGAAAGGGGGTGCTGGGTGTTGGCCATAATGGTGTTGTTGCTAAGGGCCCTGCAGTTTCAGGTGCACACCAGTGTAATATGCAGGGAAAACCCATGGATCCATGTTTCTGCATAGGGGGCATAAACGTCCACCGCATGAACTTTTGTCCCACTAAGTTCCAAAACCCACTTTCCGACCTGGACTGGAACAATCTTGATCGAGCTTGAACACACATCGGTCAACAATTTGGGTCTGGAACGGTGTCCAGCACGTATCGATCAGCTGAGGAGTGGGGATGAGGCATCCAGCATCGAACAAGCTGGCAAGGCTTTTCTGCTGGGATATAAACGATTGAATATCATGAGTGTCAGGCCGGGATGCCACTGCTCTGCACCCTGCCCCTCCAACGTCGAAGTTTTATTTCAACATGGGGAAATGTCGATGTGTTGCTTTGAAGCAGAAATTACATGTGGCAGGAAGAATGGATCTTTTGGGCTCTAGAGGCATTGAAGTAAGGCTTTGACATTAAAATAGGCATGTGAATCACAGTCGAAAATCAGTCCCTCAGTCCAAAAGACCTGAATGAATCTAAGCCAATGTTTTTGCTCGCTTGTTGTTGAATCTGAATCGGTTCTTGGGAGGGCTTCAAAGCTAGCCTGGATCATGGTGCCAAAGTGGCACGTGCCTTTGAACAATTAGAAAGACACACAATGCAGTTTCATGCTCTTGAAAGATTGGGATTGGGAACTTGGATTGGATGCTTAATGAGCCAACCAAGTCACTGGCGCACGTCCTTCATGACGATGTGAAGGGAAAACGTGAACTGGCAGCAAATATTGATTTTGTTAGAAATGTTGCGGTGTATGCAATCCTAAATGCCATGAAATCCCTCATTCCATTCTTTGGGCCAGCTGAGGTCTTAACCCTCGTTTCACCCATACGTTCTGTGATGAAGACTCTATGAGAGTTTTGAAAGCCTGGTGTAAGAAAGCAGACTCTCGAAACCGAGAGCGGTCTTTGATTCGCATGGCCCGCATGCAGTTCAAAACGCTAACCTGGCGTTTACCAAAGACCTCCAACCGGAGACAGTGAAGAAAAAGTGCGAATAAACATGAATAAACCATCTCAATTTGGGACCTCTCAAGGCTTTCACTGTGATTCACGTGCCTTTCAATGTCGAAGCTTTACTTCAATGCCTGATATGAACACCCAAAAGATCCTTTCTTCCTGCCACATGTCAAAAGGTAAAACATCGACGTAACTTTTTATGAAAGTAATACATCGACATTACACCATGTTGAAGTTAAACTTCGACGTTGGAAGGGCAGGGCAACGCCAAGCCCAGGATGAAGAGGGTACCTTGCTTGACTCAGAGCTTCCTGATATTGGTGCGGACGTTGGTGATTTGCCTCGTGGATCGGGGGCTAAACCTGGTACCAAAGAAGGAAGTACTGCACTTTCGAGCAGCCTCATGAGCTTCAAGTTTCTTTGATACCAGTACTTGAAAGAACTTGAAAAACTTGAAGCAACCAAAGTCCATGGTATATTCAATCGTTGTGGTCACGTAAACCATGTGCCCAGGCTCACTTTTCCATGTGTAACTTCGACGACAACACCACTTCAAGTGCTACCGCAATTTGTGGAAGTGCTTGGCAAGAAAGTTGACAAGATTCGAGCAGAAATGGACCCTCGCTGGAATATATACATCTCTCGGTACTCAATTGAAGTTGATCAACTAACCCATGTAGCAAATGATCTCTTTCCAAATCCGCACTTGATTTCCGAAGGATCGACTGGGCACCATCAAAGCCAACACCATTGCGGCTGAGTTGCTAGGTGTTCAAACAGACCAACCTTTTTTGGAGAGTTGCGAAACTCTTCAACTGTACTCCTTCCCTTGATCCTTCCACCTTTGCCGGGCCCCCGCCTGAGGCTGAAGGGGCAGTTAGAGAAGATCCTGAAGGAGATGCACGCGAGGTATGACAAACTTGCCAACCATTTGTCCGAAGCCACGGTGGCCCCTGATGGAGTTTCTGAGTCCCTCTGATATAATTTTATATAATCTTGAGGGGAACAAACTTGAGGCCAAGCTATTGCATGTTTCGATCCATTGCCAAACACTTCAAGAATGCTTCTGCCGGCTTAGGACTGATCGGTCCAGTATCCAGAGGCTCTTCGTCGAATGCACTAAGCATGATGTGGCTCTGAATGCTGTGTTGGCTCGCTGCAAGTCCATGGATTGCAATTCATGCGTGCATAGAAACATTGGGATACAGGTGCAGTACAATCGACATATATCAGTCCTGCTTCCAACGCCATGTGCTCATGCGCTCAGGCCAGTCAAGGCTACCTCAGTAGCTCCATCGTCGGGGAAGGCACCAAAGGTGCCCAAGGCAAAAGCTGCCGGCACTAAGAAGAAGCCACAGAGAAAGTCGAAAGACTAGTTCGTTGTCTTAGCTTTTCCATGCATTGCCAGGTGTGTGATAACACATCAGGCCATTAGCAAGTGCTGTTCAATTTGGGACAGTACAAATTGGGGTTCAAGGGTGTGCCTTGTACGTGGAGATCGCAATGCGTGGGAAAAGATTCAACTAGACCTTAGAGCATTCACTATAGCCACTAGCTTCTTAAGAATTGTGTTGGTTCCACTGCACATGGTGTGTCAACTATGCAGTGTCTTGGACACCCAAGACACTTATTGAAAATGATCTTTAGAGGGCCCTTGCCAGGTCACCGAGATGACATGCTCCGGAGAGGTGCCTTGGCCGTATACATCTGTGTGAAAACCTGCGTGGGAAGCATTCCGACTCTGACCCTTAAGCCTGGCCACCCCGACCACGCTCAAGGTGAAGAGGCGGAGTCGGATGAGAGCGACCTGGACGATGCGCTGGTTGATGTCTTCGGCAATGGCGCCGCTGGGGCTCAATTATAAGCCTTATGCACTGTGCAGTTACAACACCTGTGGAAATATAGATCGATTTTGATCTAAGGAACCTGCCAAGCATGTGATGCGAAAAGTGCGCAAAACCCAGAAGCTACTTGCAAAACATGGAGTCTTGCCTTCCACTATTCATGGATGAAGCATGGGCATAGCAGACTTTACCTTTGCAGACCGGTTTTCAATCCACAAAAGACAACACCCGAACACCAACCAGTATAGCCACATGATTCTGGGGGGTTGTCAAACTCAGGAGTCTATGATGAAAAGATTTCCGACATAGCTGGGAGCACCTCCTATGACCGTTATGGTCGAACGCAAGTCGCAACATGTATCGATGGGTGCAGAGGAACAACAAAACTCTTCCTGTTGAGATCCACAAGGTGCCCATTCCTGTTCGTTCTTCAGCGCGGCGCAAGACTGACCAGGGGCGGCCTTGGCCTGTCATATATCTATCCAGTTGGTTCAAGGTTGCATTTCAAGAGCCCTATGGAGGATTCTTTTTCTTAGCAGGTCAAAGGCTGACCGAGTTGGATGAGGTAAAGAAAACGTTGTCTCGCTTCTGGAGCCGCTACCGGGGCGTGGAGCCTAATTTTGTGTTTCCAGAACGGCCAGATCTCACGATACCGTTCTACGTGCATGGAGATGAGGGCCGAGGTTATTGCAAGAGGCCAGTTCTGGTAGTGTCTGCACAACCCGTTTTTGGCTGGACAAGTGATGACAACGCCAACAGCAAGAAGACCCATGCATGCTTTATGATAGACTTTGATTGTTTTTGTGCGTCAAGGTTCTGTGGGTATTCTTTCGGCCTCCAATGTTTGTTGCCAGCCGAGGCACACATTCACCACTCGCCTCCTGTACAGCCTGATTCCCAGGGAGCGCTATGCAGCAGAAGGCGCTTCTACTCAAGGCCTTATGGCGGCCTTTGTTGCTGACGCCAATGAGCTCTACCACCATGGGGTTGAGGTTGCATGAGTTTCCCAAAGTTTCCCAAAGTTTTTGCAAAGAATCTTTGCACGCTGCTCCATTTCATGTGTGTGCACACACCCCTGGTTCCTGGAGGTCACTTTTGGAGGCATTTGTCAGAGATTTTACCTGCAGTGCCTCGGGACAAAAGGCGATTGGCCGTTCCTGAGATCAGCATGGAAGCTTTGGGCAGGATTCTCTTCGAAGAGACTGTGCCATAAATGTGACTTTGAAGACACACGGATTAAGTATGCATATTTTCTTTTTGGAGGGTTTGTTGCTAATGCTTTGTGGGGATCGGTAATTGGTTACTGTGTGGCTGCAGCCTAGGATTGGCACGATTTCACCACTACTGGCCCATTGCGTACAAACCCTGGAGCAAATAGTAGATCTGTTGGAGACCCTTTTCATCGTGGACCCCTGGCCGCACTTCGTGGTTTAGCCCCCTCTGGTTCGACGGAAAAGATCAAAATTGATCTGGCTCACACCTGGTCCATTGCCGGGTGTGGCAAAGACTACCTGGCTTCAGGGCTGGTTTTCATTGCTGTACATTGCCGGCATTTTGGCGCCGGTGCATGGGAGCTACTCTTGGATCGGGCCTTTGAAGATTTCTCTCGCTGGTGTGTGTCCAATAAGAAGGTGTCCAGCATCAAAGAGTTCTCGAAAGAGGAGCTGAAGATCACTTCGTTCCTTACAACACTTAGAGGTTCGCGGTTTGAACTAATGCACCTTTCCTCTATGGACCAAACCCTTGAACCTTTCCGCTCCTGACTTGATCGATGTCCATCTCGCTGAGGCTTCAGCAGTATCCTCGGGGTCTCGGAAAAGGCAGTGATGCGGCCTTGGTAAGCAAGTGGATCGCGACGGTCTTGGAGGGGATGGATGAGAACCAAGTCCCTGACTCTGGGCTAACATGGCCAACAGGGGTTGAGATGTAGTTGGGCCCTTGTTGACTCCCTTGTAGTTGGACCATGGACCATCTTCCCAAAACTAATGACACACTGCCCCAGGAAGAGTACCAGAACATCTTCAAGGTGTTGAAGTGGGGTCACGCATCCGTTTCGCAGTTCTTCAAGATCATTTATTGTGGGAAGATTTGGCTGACCGCTCATGAGGGTGAGCAAGCAGTTCAACATGGCTGGATTTTGTTGGCCACTCCCTTGCACTAGTGCTGAACACTGTGCCATGCATAACCGATGGTACCAAAAGGATTTTCCTGTTTCAGGAATGCTATGGGGCTTTGGCCCGGCTGAGCTGGGAAGCTGGCCTGGCCCTGTGGTACATCCGTCCCAAGTGCCACATGTTGGCACATGTGGTGCTCTCTGGCTGAAAAAAACACCGCATTCTTTGGTGGAACAATTGTTGTGACGCCGCCGCATCGTTTTTTTCTGTCTCAAGGTTGGAGATGCAAGAGCAATTGGATCACCAAGTCGAATATGTCTTCAATCCCCAGTGCTGGAAGCTTAGAACACCGTTCCTGCATGAAAGAAAACATGATCTAATGTCTAAAGTCTAAAGTTATTGAGGCACAAGCTGCTGGGCAGATGAGGATTACATAGGACGAGTCAGTAGGTTGTCAAGAAAATGCCATGTGGCAAACCTTGCATACTCCACAATTCGGCGATGTCTCATACAGTACAAAGCCGAGTGGGACAAGGCCATTCGGGATGGGATCATCCTGGATCACCGGCCGCACTGAGTGCCGCGCGGACTCTGGACTCTGTGAAGTCGACGTTGGAGCTGTAAAGGTGCACTGCGCACTAATCGAGATGTGGCGGGTGGAAGGCATGGTCCCGGGGATGAGTGGTTCAGGGCAGTGTTTCAGAGATCGAGCGTTTTTATGGGAAACGAGCGTTATGTGTTAGAACGAGCGTTCTTTGAAACGAGCATTTATAAATGCTCTTCGGAAGCTCTAGGTATATGTGATATACGTCTTCCCGGCGAACACTGTCAGCCATTCCACACGACCCTGGCCACGTCGGTCCCCGGAGCATCGGCATTCGCTGTTCTGTCCGCTCGCAGCATAGATCAGCATAGTGCAGCTCTAGCTGACCAACTTCTGGTAGGCCTGGAACCATGTAGCTGAACGCGCTCTGCAAACCAGAACGATCGGCACCAATTGCCAAGTACCAGTATCATAAATCATAATGTCCCAGCAGTATGGGCACCAATGAATGAGAAAGTCTGAAACTCCGTTCTATAGATCT